GATGTGGGACATGGGAGGCTAGGAGTTAGATGGATTGCACCCACTAACTCCACTCTTTCCGATGAGTAGAGGCTGCAGAAGATGCTGAGAGGAAGAGGATTCTGAAGTCAAAAGAGCCAGGATCGATTAGCAATGTCTGTCAGGAGCATGGGGAGGGGAAGGAGAGGAGCTCTTGCCACGTGCCTGTCCTCCCTGGCATAAGGTGTGCTTAAAGTGCAATAACATGTGAACTCTTCTGATCCACTGACAGGTCTTGACCAGGGCTGGGGGACGACTCTGTTATCGATTAATTTGTTTTTCATGGACAGTTTCTTGCTCACTCAGACTCACCTGGTGCTGATATCAGCAGATCTCTTCATCTATTCCATGGACCCATCACCTGCCAAAGCCCCACTGCCCGCCCTGCGAGGGGAGGCACCAGGTCTAGCAGAATTACTGCAGGACCAGGGCTGGGAGGCAGCTGAGCTACAGAGCTCCACAGGCCCACGGAAGAGTCTCTTGCATTTCAAATGGGCTCCCGTGGCCACTGCTGAGAGAGGCCACATTTCTGCTGAGTGAGAGTCAGTTCAGGCTCCGCTCACCTGTAATGAGTGAGATTCTCCAGGAAACATTTCCATATTGGATGCAGGGGCCACCCAGATAAGGGAAGAGGACAGTCTGAAAGCCAGAGGTTATGACTTTTGATCTGAGTCTCAGCTTTGAAATATTCACAACTCCCCTGGAACCAACTTGGGTCAGTGCCGCCCTTCATTCTTCTGAGAAAGAGAAAAAGTAAGTCTGATGTGGATGCACTACTGGACAGCGTGGTGGGCAGGGCCCCTTTGGCTAAAATGGATGAAGTGCAGGTGAGAGCAGGAATGCGTAGAGGCCCAACGGGGTGCAGGCAGGGTAGAAGCCTCCATGGGATAAATGATACCTGGGCCCTCTCCAGCCAAACTAAGAGCCCACCAACAGCCCTGGCCTGGGCGGAATGAGACTTTCAGGGCCAGAGGTTTTCTTCACATTTTACGTGTTGTATTTTCCCCCAGCTTGTGAGTGTAATCTGACCTACCAGCGTGCAAGGCTTTGGGGGTTTTGAACTTGCCCTACATCAAATACACCCCCTCCTCCACTAGGGAGAAGACCAGCCACTCTCTGCCTCAGACTCGGCGGGCATTTGATTGTCTAGAACACATCAAACAGCCTAAGTCTCCCTTGTAAAAGTTTTACAAGAAAATCATTGAAGACCAGCCGAGCTATCCTTTTTCTCTCCTCCTCCTTAAATTCCAAACCCAAGCCGATATTCTCGATTCCCACACTCTGGTGTCGGCCGGCAAGAGCGCGGGGCTGTTGAGTGTGCAGTGGCTGAAACCTCTGCCTCTGGATCATTAGACTTGCAGCCCACGGCTTGTGGGATCTAGTGATTTGGACATATTTTATTTAACCAGCTTAGTAAAAGGTAATATTCAGCAGCTGTGATCTATAGCAGAATTACAATTTTCAGGGTCAAGGAGGGATTTTGATATTAGGAGGTTGGGCAGAATTGCTATGAAATCTCATGAGCTGTCTTTAAAAATAAATGAGAAAATAGGTTATCCAAGAGTCATTGTAAGGGAAAAATCAATAGGCAGTGTCTATTCACTTGGGCTATCAAAATCCTTGAAATTTGAACAAAAGTTTTACGTTTAGTGTACTGTAGGTTTTGAAATGTCAGCGCTGGAGGCTCGGCGGGTACCAATTCATTGTGCTATGCATCCAAACAAGACTAGCCTTGTGAAGCTGCTCGGCTCCCTCTTAAAATGGGGGAGAATCTTAGTGACCAAATTAGACAGTAAAAGGACACGCCTGGTGAATACCATTTCATCCAAGGCAGCAGTCTGCCCGCAAACACTTGAGAAGCACCTGATGTGCCAGGAATATTAGCTCAGGTGTGGCTGGCGGCCCAGCGACTCTTCCCAGCCCCACCTCTTGTCCGGGAGGAAAGTGGATCCCACGTGTCTTCTCTCCCACACCATGCACAGTGCTCAGGCTTTTGGATGGGGACAAACGATAATTAACAGAGAACTTGCTGGTGGTGAAGTTTTGCCTGAGCAGGTTGTCTGAAATAATAGAAGTTCTCTCCCATTCATTCATTCAACAATAATCTACTGGGAACCCACTATGTGCCACTCTCTTCTGGCACCAAACAATGGAGAAATAAAACAGGCTTTGTACCAGCCTTCACCGAGCATGCAGACTAACTGGGGAGTGCATATTAGAAAAAAAAAAGTCTCTACAGAAAAATACAAAACTTAGCCGGGCATGGTGGCCCGCGCCTGTGGTCCCAGCTTCTCGGGAGGTTGAGGTGGGAGGATCACCTGAGCCTGAGGGGGTCGAGGCTGCTGTGAGCCGTGATCGTGCCACTGCACTCCAGCTTGGGTGACGGAGACCCTAACTACAAGAATATATACATATATATATATATAGCCATGATCGTGCCACTGTACTCCAGCTTGGGTGACTGAGACCCTGTCTACAAGAAGAAAAAAAAAATATATATATATATATACACACACACACACACATATGAGGGTTTTAGGGACGGTGCCACGTGGAGCTGGGGAAAAATGTGGAAGTTGAAGCTAATGCCTGAGTGAGATGGAGGAAACAGCAGCATGTTAATGAAAATTAGTAACAGACATCCCAACTGCTTTCTCCATCTCCTCGGTTTTAGGAGTGATTTCTCCAGGTCCCTGGTACAGGCTTTGAGTACTGCTCCTGACACCCACAGCCTAAGTGATCCACATAATGTGGATGATGGACATGAAAGAATAAACACAGGAATAAATACTGGAGTATGTATTATGATCAGGAAAAAGGTAGGTTGAGGAAGAATCAGGGGGGACCTTCTTGAGATTGGAGGAGGGTTCAGGGAAGGCTTCTGCGATGGTGTAGGTAACCTGAGACAGGGCAGGTAGCAAGAGCTAGTCAAGGAGAAGAGGGAAGGGGAGAAGAACGTTCCAGGCAGAGGCTCTGAGGGGAGAAAGAGTTTGCAGTGTTGAAGGGAGAAAGGAGTGAGGGAAATGGAGTGGAGACAGGAGGCGGGGAGAGATAAAATGCCTGACCAGGGGCAGGCGTCAGGTCAAGCAAGGCTGGACGGGCCATGGGAAGGAATTCTGATTTGAAAGGCTATGCCAAGTCAGAGGCTTTTGAACCAGAAGGCTCTATGATCTGATTTTCATTGTCAAATCCTCACCCTGGCTATTGTGAGCTTGGACAACCTACCTACTAGAAGTGGGGAGAAGAGCTTGGAGGCTATGGCAGGTGAGAGGTGGCAGCTTGACCAGGGTGGAGGAGAATGGACTAGGATTCTACCAGTGTTCCTGGGAGAGCACAGGTGAGTTATTTCTTCTCTACTTCCCTTTTAATTGCCCTTCAGCAGTGGATTATTCAAGAACCACCGGTGATCCAGGGGTCCAGGATTTCATTAGGAGTCAAGCGTTGTGCACAGACTGAATAAATAACTACATTCTGCATCCCTCACTTTTCACATTCCCACAGATGCTGTTATGAGTTCATTGAAAAGCATCTCATCACAGCATTTATCATTTCTCATAGTCTCCCTTTTCTCAATCAATAGATTATTTATTTTTATTTTTTTGAAACAGAGTCTTGCTCTGTTGCCCAGGCTGGCATGCAGTGGCCCAATCTCAGCTCACTGCAACCTCTGCCTCCGGGGTTCAAGTGGTTCTCCTGCCTCAGTCCTCCTAGGACTACAGGTGCCTGCCACCATGCCCCGCTAATTCTTTTTGTATTTTTAGTAGAGATGGGATTTTACCATGTTGGCTAGGCTGGTCTTGAACTCCTGATCTCAAGCAATCCACCTGCCTGGGCCTCCCAAATGGCTGGGATTATAGGCGTGAGCCACGGTGCCCAGCCAATCAATAGATTTTTAAAAATCAATGTTTCAAATGTGTCCTCAAATTTCCTTCAGGATGCCATGTCCTGGACATTAGGTAGGCTCAAACCAGCATAACCAACCGAGACTGTCTGCCTTACTTTCCAGGTCTCTCTGTGACTGAGTTCCTATAGCAGTTAATTGCCAGGGAACTGCTGGGTGTCCCTTAGTACCCTTGAGCTTTGGGGAAAGCAGAGACTCAGTTTTGTGGTTCAAATGTTACCTTCATGATCCTGGTGCCATGTCTAATATTTATTGTTTTTTTTTTTTTTTTTTGAGACCGGGTCTCACTATGTTGCCCAGGCTGATCTTGAACTCCTGGGCTCAAGCAATCCTCCCACTTCAGCCTCCCAAAGTGCTGGGATTACAGGCATGAGATACCATGCCCAGCGCTATTTATTGTTAAAAAATAATTTTAAAACATTTTAAAAATGAATTTTTTAAATAATGAAGAAATAAATATCTTTCTACCATTAAGGTGTTCTTCCACATACCGTGTGCTGACTGTGCCACTGGAGCTACGGTATGGAATTAAGGCATTCTTTAGGCATCTGAAGCCCAGAATCATGAGGAATCTGTACATACACAAAAAACCCCAAAACACCAACAACCCCCCCAAGCAATATTTGTCTGCCCTGCTACCGAGCAACACATTTAATCATGATGAGTGTGGTGTTTGTCACAGGCCTGGGGGTGATTTCCAGCCACCTAATGGAATCTTCATATCAGCCCTTGGGTGGAGTGCTATTTTCTCTGCTTTACAGTCGAGGAAACTGAGGCTCAGTGAGGAGATCAGTAGGTTATCCAGGCTCACCAGTGAGAGAATGAGAGCTCAGACCCAAGTCTGTGATTGCTCTGTAATGCCATATTTCTGGGAAATTAAAGAAAAACAAAACCTACATTCAAAAACAACCTTGAATATTATCTTTCCAAGTTTCATCATTTAAAAAAAATGACAGCATCTAATTCACAGTCCAAAAACTGTAGCAGAGCACTGAACTGACGATTTTGAACTAACCGTCAATTAGAAAGGAAATGGAAGTAAGAGAAAGAATTCAAATGGAAAAGATGGGAATAGCCGACTTTGGAATTAGGTATTTTATTTAACTCATCAAATAATACAAGTTATTCCAGGAAACAACAATCAAAATGTATTACTTGTACTAACGATATGTAGAGCCACATTTCCAAGACATCTAATGAAAATAAATTACTTGGTGGAATACAGCAAATAAATAGATTTTTTTTTTTTTTTTTTTTTTTTTACAAACAACCCTGTGAATATTAGAAAAAACATGTGAGGGTTCTGGGGAAGGTGCCACGCGGTGCTGGGGGAAAATGGAACTTGAAGCTAACGCCTGAATGAGATGTAGGCAACAGCAGCACGTCAACAAAAATTAGTAACAGACATTCTTACTGCTTTTCTCCATCTCCCCGGTTTTAGGAGTGACTTCTCCCATCCCCGCCGAGAGGCTCCAAGTACTGCTCCTGACACCCACAGCCTAAGTGATCCACATAATGTAATCGCACCATCATTAGGAACCATGAAATTGCGATTCCTCGGGGAAGGAGTGCGATCACTCAGTTACACGGAGAAGAGCGATTAATTAGCCGATCTCAGTTTAATGTGACTATGTACTACACGAGTTCTAATCCCACTCTGGAGCAGCTCTTGGGCCTAATGAATTATCTCTAGGAAGCTGAGCTGGAGCCAGAAGACATCACTCAAAATGAAATAAGATAAAAAGCCGAAACTTTAACATGATATTGGGGAAAAGCTGTAGAAACCAAACGGGAGTCACCTAATTTTTCCTGATCCTGAAATGACACTATTAAGTATGAAATCTTATATTTAGACTCTATTTGAGGCAGCTTGATCCAAACTGACTCATTCACTCATACATTTCATAAGTGTTACCTTAAAGTGCAGTATTACTTTTCACAGAACGCGATGGGATGTTACTTTAGACCCATTTTGGGGCAGTTGCATCCTCAGACATCAGACAAAGCAGATTGAAGGCTGCAGGTGAAACCTCCATGAGGGTGGCTTAGAAAACAGTTCTGAAATGGGGATGCCTTCTTCCTGGAAACTCAGTGGATCAGGACTTTTACCTTTCCCAAGAGGATGATGTCTCTAAACCCAAACGTAGTTGGCACCCACCCTCCTTGGTGCTGGCACCCTTGTACTGAGCTCCCAAATCCTAAACCTCACCTGAAACTCAAATGGATGGGTGCAGATATTGAGGACTGGTCTTTGCACACCGTAAGACCTCGGCTCTCTGGCCGACTAGTCTTTCCATTTCACAACTTGCTTGGATTCCAAATTAAATCTCTCTGGGTGCTTATACCTCTGTTCTGTATTGATAGGGCTGCTTTTAGACTGGGATTTCATTTCTAGGGCAGAGCACCTAGGGAGAGGAATACATGGGAGACAGACTGCCTTGCCCATGGTGGCTAAACCTACATGAGGGGACTGAAATCTCTTTGGATGCCAGTCCAGATCCCTTTTTAAGAAAAATGGGCTTGTGGTTCCAAGGCTGAGAGCTGGCACCACACACTGGTTTCTAAATCTCTGTCTTGGATTTTATCCAAGTGCATGTTCCTAACGTGCCCGTGAGCAGGAGGGGCAGGCGCAGTGTTCATGATCTAGTTTACCGATAGACAACTAAATGCCCAAGAGGGTAGGTGGCTCACCAGGCAGGACTGGCTACATAATTTTCAGGACCTACTACAAAATGAAAATGTGGGGCCCCTTGTTCAAATAGTGAGAAAACATGCTTTTTGCTTTCTTCCCCAGTCTCATTTTCAACTTGTCATGGTGTTTTAAATTTGCTAGTTAATGCCATTCTAAGTAAAGTCAAAATTTTAAATTATTAGCATGACTTTTAACATTCCTCTTTACATTGTGCAATGCCAGTTTTAAATGCAAATATCCGAATATTGCATGTGGAATTAGCAAAGCGGCACACTGTATTTCACGGTTCTCTCAGGAGGATACCTTGACCTGGCCAGAAGAGACAAACGACTCCAGAAGGTTGAAAGAAGGGAGGGTCCTCTCAGGCATGGAGATGACCCCATGGGGTACTCCCTAGACATGAGGGTTCTCCCAGGGGAGTGCAGACCCCCACAGGCACCCTGGTGACTTGGGGAACACACGAACACTTGAACCCATCTTCTGGCTCCCTTTCCTGTGAGCTGCTGGGCCCACATGTGCCCCAGGCCTAGGCCTAGGGCAGGAGGTTGAGCCAGGCATCCTCCCACAGGCTCCTGCCCCAACCCACAGCAGATGGGCAGCCCCCAGGATCACTACAAATTTCATACCAGGACACACGAGGTGCTGGATCTGGGGGTGCTAGGGGCTCACCCCCGCAGAGTCCTGCACTGAATGTGCCCCAGGCTGCCAGTGCAGGATGGGGACTGCTGCCACCATGCCCCACCCTGAGATGCTGTGGGGTGTGCTTGCCCCCCTCCCCCACAGGGTGTGCCTGTGCCAGGTTGGGGGCAGGTTGGCAGTGGTTGCTGGGTGGGAGGCAGGGAGGTAAAAGCTGAGTGGAGCTGGAGCTGGGGGGGGCAGAGGGGCAAGCAGCTGAGAAGCAGATCCTGGACACAGGGAGATGGGAGGCTCCACCTCCCCAGTTCACAGTCCACTGTCCCATTGGACTTCACTTACAAAACACAGTGACAAAGATAAAATTATTAAGAATTTGAAGACAGTGACTGCAGAGCCTTATTTCCCAAGCGTGGGGCCCTTCTGGGCACAAAGCCCTGTGTACCTGTACCGGTCACACACCTGTGACACCAGCCCTGCATCCTGGACCACTTAGAAGCTCAGCTTACCAGGTCTCCTGGTCTTCTAGAAGGTTCTACAAACCACTGGCTGCCATCTTAGCCTTTGGCTCTTACTTTGTTGGGAAGGTTCCCTCTGCACTGCCATGGAAGGCTGGGAGCTAGCAGAGACCTACCTTCCTGAGAGATTTTCTAGCCCAGCTTTCCCATTTTGTGGATGAGGAAACTGGGGTCTGGAGCAGGGTATGACTGGCATATGAGGCCACACATCTGGCCACTGGCACAGCAGGGTCTAGAGCCCTGAGACCTGAGGCCCAACTCGGCATGAAAGATGCCAGACTGGGAAAAGACCAGAGCCCCACTGGTGTCCCTGCCACACTGTTCCTTGCTGTGACTGCACCCCAGTCACAGCCATCTGGACCCAGGAGTGGTGTCTGGGTTCCCCTCCAGTTCTAAGTTGCATCCCCTTAGCATCAGTAGCCGAGGCTCAGTGTCATAGCCCACAGGGATAAAACGGAGGGGTTTTTTGTTTGTGACAGAGTCTTGCTCTGTTGCCCAGGCTGGAGTGTGGTGGCGCGATCTCGGCTCACTGCAACTTCGGCCTCCCAGGTTCAAGCGATTCTCCTGCCTCACCCTCTTGACTAGCAGGGACTACAGGCATGCGCCTCCATGCCCAGCTAATTTTTGTATTTTTGTAGAGACAGGATTTCACCATGTTGGCCAGGCTGGTCTCGAACTCCTGACCTCAAGTGATCCACCTGCTTCGGCCTCTCAAAGTGCTGGGATTACAGGTGTAAGCCACTGTGCCCAGCCGAAAATTGAGTTATTCTGTACGTGTTGGTTTAATAAAAAAGCAACTGGAGAACTTTGGCACCAAGAGTGTGAAGGCCAACACTACTGAGGAGGCCCCTGGCTCTGTGGCTGGACCATAGCCCTTCTGAGCCTGACGGGACGAAAGACCCAGCCTGGAGTTGCTGGGCAGTGGGTGGGGATGAGGCGGAGAGGATTTGAGACAAAAATTCCAACCCCTGGTGCTGTCTGAAGTTCCACTTCCTGGTGCAGAGGAAATATGTCTTCCCAGAGGCTGAAGGCATGGAATCTACTCCTGGACCTGGAACCAATTTGCTAGGTGACCTTCAGCAAATCCTGTCCCCTCTCTGAGCTCCCATTTCCCCATCTGAAAATCAACAGGTAGGCCACAGTGGCCACAGTGGCCCCCTAGGGCCCGCAAAGCTCAAACGTTTTATAAATCTGAGCTCCTGGTTGGCCCACCCCACCGCCAAGGTGGCTAGCACTGAGCTCAAGGAAGGCCGATCCACACTTCCTCATTTCAAAACGCTGCTCTTTCCAGCTCTGTGGGCTTCATCTCCCCCACAAAGGAGTTCAGAGAGGCCATCCAGAGGCGGAACATGCGGTTGCATTTGCTGGGATGCCCGGGCTCCTCTGTCCCTGAATGCCATGCACCCAGACATCAAAGTTTCTCTACTGTCTGGGGGAGGATGGTGCGGGAGGAGGACCACATCAGCCACGCGCCCCAATCTGGATTCTACTTCTATTTTCCCCTTTCCGCATGGGGGACAGAGAGAGGAGAAGAAGGGGAGAGAAGCCTTTGAAAATGTCTGCTGCTCCATTTCCTCCCTGTTCACTGCTCTCTGCTTAGCAATTCACCTCGCCGGCGGGCCCAGTGACACTCCCGTGGTGCACCTCTTAGCCACTCGGCAACTTTTTTCCCTTTTATGATATTTTGGGCTCCTGATTGCCTGCCAAGTCAAACCTTTAACATTTAATAAGCAGGGGGAAAAAATCCTTCAAGTCAGCCCTGATCTAAACGGTCCCCATTCCTATCCCTGGCCTCTCCTAGGCCAGTCCTGGAAGTAGGACCAGTGCTGATGGGGACCTGCCCACCTGCAGGCAAGTGTCAGCCCTACTCAGCCTCAGCGGGGCTCCTTTGCTAATGCAGTCATGGGGACTGCAAGGAGGAATGAGCACACAGCATTGTCTACTTGGAGAGGATTTTGCCTGGCAATTCACAGTGATTGGGCATTCATCACAAGGGACAGCGTGGAAGGGGGCAGAGGCACAGGCATCGCAATGTGATTCTGAGACCCCGAGAGTGACCTTGCCCGAGATTGGAGTCAGGATTCTGGAAATGAAAATAGTTTTCTGACTTGCAGTGCAGTGAGACTATCTTCCTTGTTTTCTTATCTGTCTTCTTCACCATGTGTCTTTGGGGCCTGGAACGTAGTAGATGCTCAATAAATATTGATTGACTGAATGAATAAATCTGCTTACACCTCTCATGCTTCAAACAGGGAAACGCTGGATTATTTAGAAGTCTTGTCGGGGACAATAATGAACTCATTGAAGCCCTCTAGTTCTCACTCGAGTTTCTCCCTTTCTTTAGAAATGCAGTGTAGAGCTCTGGAGGGGTGGGTGTGGATGAATGAGAGAAGATGGAATTGAGCGGAGAGTCTCTGACGGCCAGTGTCCCCTCTGTGCCAAGACCCCTGGATGTGGCAGTGTGGGGAAGGTCTGCTCAGGGCAGGAAGAATCCATTTCGGGTCCTCCCCCAAATGCTGAACTGCACGCTACATTGGATTTGGACTTCTTTCCGCCTCAGCAGGGCCAGAGGAGGGATGCAATTTGCCTGCCCCCAGGGTTAGCTGTCCAAACTCCAACCCAGCCTCCCTGTTCCTTCTCAATCCTTCTCAGCCAGGGCATGGCCGTGGGACCTGCCAGGGGACCCTCGACCCATTATCTGCTCCTTGGCAGAGCCCATTCTCAAGCTCCCGTGTTTGCCTGCATGCAGCCCTGAGCCAGAACACGATCCTTAGAAGAACAGGGGCCTGGCCAGGCAGTGGGCTTGAGGGCAAGGCTGAAGGCAGCTGATACAGGGCAACCTCCAGGGAGCTGCTCCCAGGGAACCAAGCCCCTCTTTCCTTCTAACCCTTCTCCCAAAGACCATCAGGCTCCCTCACGTAGTGGGTCTGTCCTCCCCCAAACCAAAAATCTGCCCCCAGGAAATGGTCAGACAACTCACTTAGAGGGATCTGTGGCTGGTGGGGCTGAAGCTGTCTAGGAAAAAATGAATCTGCATTTTTCCAGTGTTCCAGGGCAGAAATCACAGTACTGCATCTCTAGCGGTGGGGTTTCAGGCATCCACCAGCACGCAGGGTGTCACTGCGCAGGGGCCTGGCATCCCTCAAAGGGTCAAGGCCTTGGCCACTTCCTGTGTCCAGAAGAGGTGCAAACACAGGAAGGGACAGTCTGGTCAGAGGCTCGGGAGTGGGGCTGGCAGGCTTTGGTCTCCGCTGGTCTCCCAGCCTGTGACCGATGCACCTCTGTTGAATTTTGCAAGTCCCCATTCCCCAAGGAGGTGGTAAGTCCTAGCCATGTTCTCGGCTCCTCTTTTCTGATGGCATAAGACAGGGGAGAGTGTTGGGAAAATGTGGTACAGGATGCTGAAGTGCTTGTTGGCGCTGGGAGTATAACAGGGCCCCCACAGGTGTCAGTCCAGGATGCCTCTATGGCCTGGGTCTTTGGCAGAACCTTCTGGGGAGAAGCTGGAGCAGGAGGATGTGTTCATTCTCAACTCTGTGGGGCCTTGTCACGAAAAAACATTTCTCTCTAACTTAGGTGCTTTCCCTGGCAAAATAAGTGAAAAACAGAAAAGTTGCAGCAACGAAGTGGCACTGAGCTGGAGAGGGCCTGGGCTCCCCCAGGTATTGTCCCCTCCTGAACACACCTGGGGGAGGCCGGGGAAGTGGGAGGGGGAGAGGCGGCTGCGCTGAGCGGTGCTGGTCCTGCCCCCAGGAAAAGCCCTGGCAGTTCTCGGCGGAGCCGCGTGTGCAGCCGATCAATACGGCTTCGGAGCCGCTGAGCTATTATTCACGCCAAAGGGCCTTGTTTGGATGAAGGGAAGGAGGGGGTGCGCGAGTTCATGGAATAACAGTCCAGAGCTCTGCTTCCTGGCGATTCCCCCCCTCTGTGATGCCTGTGTTCTTTATGTAGCATGAGTAACGAGCGATTCGGGATGAGGAATCGCTTTCCCCACGGCACGCCGGGAGCCCAGGAGCCACGGCCACAGGGGTGTGTGACTGGGGCAGGGGGTCCTGGAGAGATGCACCCTGCCTTTCCCCATCTTTAGCTCCTCCTGAAGAAGGGTAGTGATGAGCTCAGGGGGGCCTACTTGCCCTTGCTATCCCCTGGTGCTGGGAAATCCATCCATCCCTCACTTGTCCACCCTCTGCTACCCAACCCCCAACACATCGTGCCCCGTCCTGCCATCTTGCTTTTGCCCTGCTCACCTCTGGTAAGCTGGCTCCTTCTTACTATGCTGGAATCCCAATGGAGATGGGACCTCGCTCGGCACTCCCTGTGTCTGCCCTCATCCACAACAGGACACTAACCCTGGCTCAGTCACCCATTTCAGGAAGTCTTGGCTCCGGTGACACACTCTTCCTGCCTGGGCATGGCTGCTCTCATCCATCTTGGGTGCAATACTTGTGGCTTCAGAAGCTTTTCTGAGCTGTCCACGTAGTCACCTGCCCTGTTTAACAAAGACTGGTCGGAGCACCACCTGACTGCTGACATTATGTGGCCAGCTTCCGGCAGCTGCCACTGGTCTGAGTCTGATGGGTCGCAGGCAAAGTGAAGCCACCAGAGTATTTCTTGGAGGCTAGTGTAGAGTTAGAGAGTTACAGCATAGGGCAAGGTCGAGTTTGAGCTAGTCTCAGGCAGGCCCTCAACCAGGGTCACTGGGAGTTGGACTGGGGATGGCTCATCACAGAGCGAGCCTGCCTTCCTGCCTGCCTCCCTCCCGCCCGCCTTCCTTCCTTCCTTCCTTCCTTCCTTCCTTCCTTCCTTCCTTCCCTCCTTCTTTCCTTCCTTCCTTCCCT